CACACGACGAATAAAGATGTGGTTTGCATGACAATATCAACACAGTGGAAGAGCTGGAGAGAAGTGGCAGGGTTAAGAGCACTTGGGGCTCTTGCAGAATACCTAAATTCCCTTCCCAGCCCACACAGAGTGGCTCACAATTCCAGCTTCAGAGCATCTGAAACCCTCTTCTGGCTTCCACACTGCACTCACTTGCACACTTGAGGGCACACATTCACATATGTACTCACACACATATGCACAAATACACACACATAATTAAAAACAAGCAAAATATTTTTTTAAAAAAATAGCATAATGGAGTGTGGAAGAATAGAGATGTACAGAAGCCAGTGTTCTGTAGATTATTAAATTCCTTAATCTGAATATATAGTTATAAATTAATATGTTAACTGTAATCCTCTGATTACTACTTTAAGAGTTATGAAAGAAGAAGAAATTAAATTGTACACTTGAAAAATGTTTATTTACTTTACACAAAGAAGATAGTAACTGGGGTATAAGAAGATAAAATGGCATAAAGAAAAACTAGCTCAATACCAGGAGGAAATCTTAACTTATCAGCAATTGCATTAAAAATAAATATATTAAATGCTCTTCTTGAAAGGCAGGGGTTGACAGAGCAGATAAGAAAATGATCCAATAATAAGTTTTCTATGAGCAGCATGATTTAGAAAAAAAACAAAAGGAAAACAGAAAGTTCAACAATAATATGGAGAAACACTAATACTTTAGTATTATATAGGATGACTGTACAGAAGATCAGAAAATAGAAATTTGCACACAAAAAACTAACCAGACCTAAGAGACATCAACAGCATATTCTACTCCCAAACAACAGCATACAACATCCTTTTGCATGCAGAGGGAACCTTCCCCAGGAGAAAGCATGCAATGTTAAGCTTATTTAATAATAAGCTTAAAATTCTTTAAAGAATTAAAATTTAAAAAGCATTTTTTGCAGATAATAATGGAATCAGTGTAAAAATCAAAGTAGACTCTTGCGAGATTAGTAAGATGTTAAATTAATACATTCCTAAATAAGCAGGTCAAAAAGATTACAAGGGAAATCAGGAAGCTAAAGTGTGTCTAAAGAATGGGTTTGTGGATACAAAAGCAATACACAAAATCAGTTGTATTTTATACATTAATGATGATTAAAAACAAAAATAAAATAAGAAATCATTGAAGCATCAAAAACAGAAAATTTTAAGGGGAAAATTATGCAATCAAGGTTAGACACACACAGAACTACAAAACACATTTAAAAAACAAAATTCACAAAATAGGGAAATATTTGCTAATAATATTTTTTAAGGTAGTGTGTATCTACAACCCCTACAACTCAACAATTTAAAAGAAAAATAACCCAATATTTAAAAAATAAAGATTTGAGCAGACATTTCCCCCAAGAAAATAGACAAATGGCTAGCAACACATGAAAGATGTCTGATATCATAAGCAAGTCAAAACTATCACCAAAGATTTTCTTGCCCACTAGGACAGTCATAATCAAAGATGTGGACAATAACAAATGTTGATGAGGGCATGGAGGAATAATAAACCCCCTACAAATGCTTATGGAAATGTAAATTGGTACTACCACTTTGAAAAATCATTTGACTATGATAGCTGACAAGATCTAGAATCACCAAGGAAACAAGACTCCAGCCATGCCTGTGAGGGATTATCTAGATTAGGTTAGCCTCCAGTCATGCCTGTGAGGGAGTATCTAGATTAGGTTAGCCTCTAGCCATGCCTGTGAGGGATTATCTAGATTAGGTTAGCCTCTAGTCATGCCTATGAGGGATTATCTAGATTAGGTCAGCCTCTAGTCATGCCTGTGAGGGATTATCTAGATTAGGTTAGCCTCTAGCCAGGCCTGTGAGGGATTCTCTTGCTTTGGTTAACTGAGATAGAAAACCCATTCTAATAACTTGTGGCACAATGGGCCTGGGTCTCTGGACTGCACAAGGAAGAAGCTAACTAAGCTCTAGCCTCCATTGCTCTCTGCTTCCCCGCTGTGGATCAATGTGACTACCTGCCGCACATTCTTACAGCCTTGACTTCTTTGTCATGATGGACGGTACTTCCAAACTGTGAGCCAAAATAGACCCCTCTTACCTCATGTTGATTTTTTCAGAGTATCTGGGATGGCTATTATTGGGTGTCGACTTGACTTCATCTGGAATTAACTAAAATACAAATGACTAGGCACACATGTGAGGGATTGTTTTGCCTCAGTCAAATTATTTGAAGTGGGAAGATCCACTTCTAATCCAGATTTTTTAGGTGGGGAGATATATCTTTAATCCAGATCTTTTAAGGCGGGAAGATCCACCTTTAATCTTGGCCACACCTTCTGATGGCAACCTATATAAGGACATGGAAGAAGGAAGCTTGCTCTCTCTTTGCCTGCCTGCTTTTACTCTTACTAGCAAGTCCATTCCTTCACTGGCATTAGAGCCTACTTCTTTGGGATTCTGGCATGTACTGAAGGTCATCTGAGACATCCAGTCTTGTGGACTGAACAGCTCCTGGGTTCTTGGGCCTTCTATTGGTAAACAGCCATTGTTGAACTAGCTGGACCATAGCCTATAAGCCATTCTAATAAATCCCATGTAACACACACACACACACACACACACACACACACACACACACGCGCGCGCGTGTGTGTGTGTGTGTGTGTGTGTGTGTGTGTGTGTGTGTTCTGTTCCTATAGATAACCCTGACTAATACCTTATCACAGAAAAAAAGTAAAAGGCAGCTAAGACAGTTTCCTAAATGGTTAGTAAACAGTAGGACCATTAACTGAATAATTCTACTCTAAGCATATACACAAGAAATATGTCTCCTTCAAAGCTTGACTACAACTTCACAGTAGCTTTGTTCATAAGAGCTAAAAGAAGGAGACAATTCAAATGTTCACAAAGGGCTTATTTCAGTTAACAAGTTCACTGTACATTATTGAGGGAAGTGAAAGAGGGAACTTGAGCAGAAACCTAGGTGGAAGACTGCTTACTGGCTCATTCACAGGCCCATGCTCAGCTGGATTTCATATTTCAGAACTACCTGCCCAGGGAATGGTGCTGCCCAGAGTGGGCTGGGCCACATTGCATCAATTAACAATCAAGACAATCCCCTACAGACAGATCCATAGCCCATCTGAGTTCAGCCCTCAACTGAGACTCACTTTTCCAGGTGACTCTAGGCTGTGTCAGTTGACAATTAAAGCTAACCAGGGCAGTGTGTTCTCAAAACACAAATGCTCCATACGCCTTTCAACTAACTCAGTCTTCCCACACCATTGTAAATTCGGAGACTGTAACCTGTGATGCATGCGCCCTGTGTGGATTCTGTAAACCAACATCTCCAGTCACATTAAAAATAAAGAACTATGCCAACTCATTCTCGGGTCAGAGGTGTCAGGGCTGTGGCCACTTCCTTCACATCTCCTTCAGCCCCATCCTGATGAACTCATCAACCTGGGTAAAGAGGGTCCTTACAGGCACAATGGATGCCTTAAAGGGAATTTGCCAGCTGTACAACTAAGGGTCTTTCCAGAAAGGCAAAGAAGACATAGGAGCTGAAAGATACCTTCATAATGAGGGAGCAGAGCTGATGCCAGCTCATGATGATGCCACAGAAGGTGGCTTCATGAGTTTGAAGAGAGTAAGAAGTGTGTGTGTGTGTGTGTGTGTTCTGTTCCTATACAATACTTGTTTGCAGTGAACATAGCATTAGAAAGATTTTCCTGTGTACACATGTACATGTGGGCGCATGTACATAGATGTACATGCATTTGTTTATGTATAGGCCAGAGGTCAACCTCAGGGCTATTTACATTGTTTTTGAGAAAGGGTCTCTCACTGGCCTAGAACTCACCAAGAAGACTGGGCTAGCTGGCCAGTAAACCCCAGAGATCCACTTGACTCCACCTCCCCAGCGCTGGGATTACAAGTACACACCACTGTACCTGGCTGGTTTTTGTTTGTAATCGTAGGTTCTGGAGATAAAACTCAGGTCCTACACCCAACAAGGCAAGTACATCACTGGCCGAGCCACCACCCAGCCTACAATAGCTTTTCATTGTGCAAGTGCATCAAGAACAGAATGGCTGGGCGGTGGTGGTGCACGCCTTTAATCCCAGCACCTGGGAGGCAGAGGCAGGCAAATCTCAGTGAGTTCAAGGCCAGCCTGGTTGACAAAGCAAGTTCCAGGATAGCCAGAACTATTACACAGAGAAAATCTGTCTCATAAAACAAAGAACAGAATGTACACAAGTTCAAAGACAGAAGACCACTAAATGCCCCATGTGCCCAACAGTACTTTTCAACTTTCTATGTCATAAAATATTCTTGCATCCTAAGGAAACTCAATAGCAGACTCTCTCTATTTTTTTAATTAACACCTAAGTAGCCCACATTTGGTGTTAACAATTGCTACTCCACTTAACAGTAAACAGCTATCATGCAGTTCTTAGCCCTGTTTTCCAGATGAAGCTGCAGTGACTCAGACAGTTTAAGGATCTTGCCCAGAGCCATATGGCAGATGAACAAGCCCTGAAGTTATTAGGCCATCGAGGCCAATAAAGCAAAAATGATGCTGGCAGCAGGTGGCTTTGGCTAACTGTGACAACAAAAAGATGGGGCACAGACCGTGTGTGGATTCAGACCCAAGGAGGGGACCTATGGAAAAATCAAAGGGCTGGAGAAGATACACATGACAAAAAAGTATATTACAGTGAAGCTGTTTTTGGTAACCTTGTGTACTGTCACTATAGCTTCTAGAAAACGTTTCCTGCCCATTCAGAGCCATATGTGAGCCTCCATCTGTCCGCTTTCTGTGCCTCCTCCAAGCACCAGCCAGGTGTCTGTGAGTTCTAGAAACCCCATGATGATCTGGGCCTGTCTGGAGTGCAGCACTGGGAACCTGTTTTAAAGGAATGTTTACAGACCCTAAATGAGCCACTGAGAAAGGCAGGCCCAGCTACTCACCGGTCCTGGAGAGCAGGAATCTTGGAAGGACACTGCAAATACTGTTTGAACCGGAGTTCAAAGGCTTGTCCAATGGAGCCAATGACGTCTTGGGCTAGCCCATCACAGCATTCCAGAATGTGGCAAGCTAGGAGAGAAGGAGACACCCACTCGTTAGAGACAGTGCCAGGGCTCTCTGGACCCCTTGGCAAAGAGCCCCATCTGAGGGGCAGAGGAAAAGAGCCACACGCCTCCCTCCTGGTGTCTCTACCAACCCAGTCTCATCTCTGTGGACATCCCATAGTGGTGACAGACACGTGAAATTCTTAGAGGGCTTGTCTGCAAAAGTAATGGTTTTATTTTTAATATTTAAAACTTACTTATTTTCATTTTATGTGTGTGTGTGTTGTCTTTATGTATGTCCACACATCTCACACATGCAGTGCCTGAAGAGCGCAGAAGATTCCCCTGGAACTGGAGTTACAGGTTGTGAAACCTGGAAATCCAACCTGGGTCCTCTGCAAGAGCAGCAAGTACTCTTAACCACCCAGTCACCTCTCCAGCCCCTTGATGGTTCTGATACTCTCAGAATCTATAAAGCAGTGGTTCTGACCTCCATAGGGAAGCAGTGTTTAGAAAGAAAACTCAATCCAAACCAGATCTTTCACAGAATTTCCTTAAGGCCTCAGGAACCTCAGCAATAGATTTAAACTGGTACCTCCTAGATGGATCTTGAGCTGTTCAATGGACTTAGGAGAAAGTTGTTCTTGACTTAACAAGAATGAAGGGTTGACAACCAAATCTGGCTGGAAACTCTAAGCAGCACGGTGTAGGGACCGAGGAGGGGCTCAGTCGATAAAGCCCGGGCCACACAAACCTGAGGACCTGAGTTCAGTCCCTCAGACCCCAGAAAAAGCCAGGCATGGAAGCACAGGCCTGTGACCCAGATAGAATTAGGAGGATTCCTAGAGTTCATTGTCTAGCCACATAGTCTCCTCAGCAAGGTCCAGGTTCAGTGAGAGAGCTGCTTTAAAACACTGTTGAGAGTGTGTCTGTTTCCTTCCTGTGGCTGTGATAAAAGACCAGGCAAAAGCATCTCAAATGAAAAGGGTTCATTTGGCTCAGTTCCAGGTTCCAGTCCACCACAGCAGGGAGTCAAGTGGCAGAAGCTTGCAGTTTGAAGGTGAAATACTCCTATCTGACTATGGCACATAGTATGTACTGAAACCTCACACTGAACATCATAAATAAGCTAATTACGTGTCAATCAAAAGTTACACAGGGACTAGGAAGACCACTAAGTTGGTTAAGGGCTTGTCATGAGAGCACGAGGACCTGAATTCAGATCCCCAGAAGCCTCATTAAAAGTTGTGTGCGGTGATGCATTCTGTAAATCCAGTGCTGGAGAGGAGAGAGGAGGGTGGGCCCCGGTGCTTGGTGGCTGGCTACTTTAGTCAATAAATGCGTTCATGGTTCAGGGGGAGACCCCGTCTCAAAAATAAGATGGAGAGCAGATGAGAGGAAGACACTCAAAGACTACTTGTAGCCTCCATAGGCACACATGCGCGCGCGCGCACACACACACACACACACACACACACACACACACACACACGGCGAAAGGGGAAATAAGATTTGAAAATGATGTATTAGAATCCAACAAAGCTGACATGTTGGGAGTTCCATCTCTACAAACATCAGTGTAGATCTCCTATTGGCCACCAGCCTCCTGAAACTTCACTCACGTGCAATCCTCATCTTGAGATGGTTGGTGGTGATTCCCACATGACTTAATGACCAGGGAGTCGGGCCTCTTTCCCTCCACTGGATTAATTACAGAAGCTGTGACCTCTTAATAACTTAATAGTACAAATATAAAGTACCATTAGAAAAGTATGCAACATTATCCTGCAAGGTTGCACTGCCTCAATTTTCCCAACAGCATGTCGATCTCAGAGGGAGCCTTGGTGAAGGGACCAAGCACACATGCAGGAAAGCCTGGCCCCTTGACTCTGAAAGGTGAGGATGGGCACAAGATGGCTGGACTGTGAAACACCACAGAAGCTGGGCCCTTGTATGGTCCAAAGAGAAATGTTTGGAGACTACACACCTTGGGGACATAGGCTACACCTTAGTGCCGTGTTGCTTTAAATCCATCAGAGCATCAGTCACACAAAGTACATGAGTGTGTGTGTGCATATGTGTGTGGGTGTATGCCACATATGTATATGTGTATGTGGAGGCCAAAGGACAATGTCAGGTGCCATTCCTCAGTGGATATTCACTTTGTTTTATGAGAGAAGGGCTCTCCTTGGCCTATGTACCAACCAGACTAGGCTGGCTAGCCAGCAAGCCCCCGGGATCCTCTTGTGTCCGCCACTCAGTGCTGGGATTACAGGTGTTGCCATCATACCTGGCTTTTCAGGTGGGCCCTGGGAAATGACCTCAGCCTCTTAGGCCTGCAGAGCAAGCACTTTATCAACTGAGCGGTCTCCCCAGGCCCCAAGGAGCTACTTAAACACACTGTTGCCTGGCTCCCCTTCTCTCAGACCTGAGTGCTGAGATGTTTTAATAAGGCTCCTAAGTAACTCTCAAGTGTCTGTCACTCCTTTTGAGGACCATTGACCTGGACCTACTAAAGAGCTCTGAATGACAAAATTGCCTAGATCACTTGCCCTTAATTTGAAATGAACCAAAACAAAGAACGAGGCCCCAGCTGCTTCTAACCCAGATAGAGTTTGGGGGGCCAGTGCCCGGTGAGGGATTGCCTATGCCTCCCCTCTTTCATGCCCGCCCTGATTTGGGGGAAGCTAGGATAGTTAAAGGAGCTGGCTTATGTTGTGAGTTCAATTATGCCTCCTGTAAAAAAAAAAGTTATGCTAAATAACCTAACCCCAGGACCCCAGAAGGTGTCCTTATTTGAAAAATGGGAGGTTTCGGATATAACTAGTTAAAATGAGGTCACAGCAGGATAGAAGGGGCCCTGAGCCACCATGGACTGTCATCTCTATAGGTATCTATGAGCATTCACAGCCTTAGGGAGTACACCACATTAGGATGGGTTTCAGTGGCACCTGCAAGTCAAGGCACATTGGAGATCACCGGTAACTACCAAAGCCAGGAGGAGGCAGGAGGGATTTCTCCTCCAGGACCCAGAGAGAGCCCATATGGCCCTGCTGACACCATGAACTGGGCATCCAGCCTCCAGAACTGTGAGGCAACATGTCCTTGTTGCTTTAAACAACTTAATCTGTGTTTGCTTTCTTAGACGCTAAGCCGAGCCTCTAAGCCTGCAACAAGAGTTTTGCTCAAGAGATCTAGGCAGCAGTCCTGACTGTCACAGGTATAACCTGCTTCCCTGGAGCCCTCACAGCCCAGTCCCTTCTTCTCTCCTCAGGCCTGTCTAATTCTTTAGAGAAAAGCCAGAGGGACTGCTCAGTTAGTAAAGTGCTTGCCTTAGGAGTACAAGGGCCTGAGCTTGAGTCCCCCGAACCCAGATTTTAAAAAAAGGAACAGGCATCACAGGACACGCTTGTACTCTCAGCTCTAGGAAGGACAAGGGGGGCTGACCCCTGGACTCATGGGCCAGCTAGCCTAGCATATTTGGAGAATTCCAGGCCAGTGAGACTGCCTCAAAAAATAAGGTAGATAGTACCTGAGGAATTACCCCCAGCATAGTTCTGTGGTCTTTACATGCACACTCACACATGTGCACCTGTACACACTCTCTCGAGTGTACGCATGTGCATGCACGAACACACACTGACACAACTGTCTAATTGTCTCAGCTCTGTTCAGGGAAGACATGGTGGAGAGTCTAGATTAGGAACCAGTGCTGAGTCATCTACAGGAACCCACTTCTCTCCCACCACCCTAAGTGAAGACGTGTGACGAAGCTTCAGTTTGCAGGGGAAGAACAGGAAGACCAAGCCGGACTCTCCAAAGCCTTCCCATTATCTTGTGTCTTTGACTTCAAATCATCACTGGTAGGATGTCAGTTCTGGGCTCCTCTACCCAGAACTGGCTGGGGGTCCAGCGGGGGAGAACCTCACATACTTACCATGACAATGCAAGTGTTCACAGCCAAGTTGGAAGCGGTTTGCAAGGATATTCAGCATAGTGTCTACCTATGCAAGCACCTCTAGGACAAGTCACATGCCACACAGTTACTGTCCCATTGCTCTGATAAAATCCCTGACAGAAGCAACTTAAGGAAGGAAGGACTCATTTGGGCTCACAGGTTGAGAGGACAGTCATCACTGCAGGCGTCAGGAGCCTGAGGCATAAGCTCACATTGCATGCATGCATAGATAGTTGGGAAGCAGAGATGAATGCATGCCTGAGGCCACTATCAGAGCACAGGGTGAGAGGTGAGGTGTGAGCTGGGTATATCAAACCCCAGCCATCCTGACACAGGTGCGAGCTTGGCACTCAGCATCCGGTAGGTTCTCTCTCAGCCAGGTGACAAGCTACCCTTGCAGGCCTCAATTATCCTTAATCATGTCACGTGACATGTGCTCATTTGCTAAAGGAGCTGAGATAATGAGGAACATCTGGTTCACAGCATCCAGCCTGGCTTCACACAAATGAATGATTAAATGGGTCGAGCATTGCTTACCTCTGCGATTAACAGGGTCCTTAGCGACATAGGCAACATAGTCTGTTGTGTCCTGTGGAAGGAAAAGGAGACATTTGTATCACTCATCACAGCAAGAAGTAAGACCAGAGGGAGGCAGAGCCCAGTGAGATAAGTATCCATTCATCCATCACACAGCAGAGAATCAGGGTTGGAAGGAAAGTTCATGGACCAGCACTTTCCTAGCGTGGGAGGGCCCTGAGCCTCCTCAGTACTGGGAGAAGAAGGAAGGAAGGGAAGGAGAGAGGAAAGGAGGGAGGAAGGGCCAGATACTGGGTACAAAATGGTACAAAATGGGCATGGTTTGAGGCACGTCCTTAAACTTGGATGTGGCTGGAAATCCCTGGAGATCTGAGTGCAGACTAGGCAGAGCCTGAGGAATCATGAGCAGCTAGTGCAGACATCACTAACCAGCATCCTCCCTCTCCCCCAGGTATGCATGCTGCCAGTCTGTGACCACACTCAGAGCAGCCAGAGTGGCAGGCACCTGGCCTCCCCGCAGAGGTTCTTCTGGGAGTCATTCACAATGGTTCTTGAGTACCCTGGTTCATCTGACTTAGCGGGTTTAGGAATGAGACCTGACCATGAGGACCTGTTTAAAGCTCGTTGATGCACTAGTGTGAATCAAAGTCAAGAAGCGGGCCTGTCAGTAATGTGTATACGAGCTCAAACTTGAGTTCCTGTGAAAATCCCCTAAAGGCTTAAGACAGATTTGGGCTGTACCCCAGTTTTGCATCTGGACCCCCAAACTGGATTGCTGACACGCTCCAGCTGCTGTGGGGTTAGAGACTATTCTTTGAGAACTGATTGTGGGGAAGAATACTAGAGCAGATGTTTAAAGACTGGATACTCACAATAGACAAGATACAGAATTAGCACAGTTGTCCTCCAGCAGATGAGGGGGTAGAGAAAGCGTGGTGTAAGCTACGTAGCGGTGTTCTGTGCAATCACAGAGAATGAAATCTCATTTCCGGGAAAACAGATGGAATTGGAAGTCATTCTACTAAGTGAAGTGAGCAAGAGTCAGAAAGACTCACAAAGACATGAAAGTAGAAGGGGGCTATGAGGAAAAGGAGGGACCAGAGGAGAGAAGGTGCGTGTGTGAATACGATCAAAGTGTGTCAGATACATAGAGGAAACTGTCACGATAAATCTCATTATGTTAAACAATGGTGCATGGCTAATTTAAAACATTATAAATGTGTTTGTTTTTTAACATAGGCTTTATTTAGAAGTCTCACCCCTCGGTGTGAAATGCGGTTCCTCGCCAGCCTTCTGAGGCCTTGATGGTCTGCCGAGGCAGCCTGCATGCACTCACTTCTGAACAGGTAGCTAGGGACCTGGTCATTCTCTTCATGCTTTTTAAAGCATTATTTTAGTATTTATTTTTAGTATTTCAGTTATGTGCGTGTATCGGGCAGGGGAATGTGTGTACATGAATGCATGTGCCTGTGGAGGCCAGAGGTGCTGGGTCCCTAGAACTGGAGTTACAGGCTGTTGTGAGCCACCCTATGTGGGTGCTAAGAACCAAACTTGGGTCCTATGGAAGAGCAGCAGTAAGTGCTCTTAAGCACTGAGCCATCTCTCAAGCCCTATTTTCTTTTTTTTTTTTTTTTTTTTTTTTGGTTTTTCGAGACAGGGTTTCTCTGTGTAGCTTTGCGCCTTTCCTGGGACTCACTTGGTAGCCCAGGCTGGCCTCGAACTCACAGAGATCCGCCTGGCTCTGCCTCCCGAGTGCTGGGATTAAAGGCGTGCGCCACCACCGCCCGGCCTCAAGCCCTATTTTCTTAATTCTTAAAGCCAGAGAGACTTCTCTACATGTTGATACTTTTAACATTGAGAACAACAAACCAAAAAAGACTTAAGGTTTCTGGGGTTGGCTGGTCCTCAAAAACTGTTAAGGTTGGGGGCATTGCTCTGGCATAGAGCACTTACCACCAAGCACATGGCTCTGTGTTCAATCCCTGATGACACCCTCTACCAACCAAACAACAAACAAACACAAACTCCGTTCTAGTTTTACTTCTGGGGCTTTTAATCAAGACAAACACTCTAACTTAAAAGCAACTAGAGAAAAGGGTTTTGTTTTTGTTTTTGCTTGTTGTTTGTTTACTTACAATTCCAGGTTACAGTTCATTCTTGCAGGGAGTCAAGGCAAGCCCTGGAAGCTGTACATCCACAGCCAAGAGCAGAGACAGAGAACACGTGCATGTCTCCTTGCTCAGTTCCCTCTGCCCAGCTTGACTTCTCTTCTCTCACACCGTTCAGGAACCTGCCTAAGGAATGTGCCACCCACCCTGCTCTGCCTCTTCCTACACCACAGGCCCTATCTGTCAGTTGACACTCTCTTCCCAAGTCATTCTGGGTGGTGACAAGTTAATTGTCAAAGCACCACCCCTCAGAGAGCAGCTTGAAAGGTCAGCCTGGTTTTGTAGTTATTTTCCAAAGTTTATGCTCCAAAGGGCTTTAAGGTCATCTACTGTGTCTTCTGCCTGAGTGGTAATGGTCTGCGCTGACATGTACTGTTCCCTCCACAAGGAAGTGTCCTCTCCCTCTTAACAGAGATCCAGCAAATACTGCCTGGAGAGGGGAGGTGAGGGGTGTGGGTGTGGGGAGGGGTGTGGGTGTAGGGAGGGGTGTGGGGGTGAGGAGGGATGGGTGGGCATGGTGCCCTCCAAGACTTCCAGAGAACAGAGGCATGGGGACTTTTCCAGTGGTGGAAACAAAAGAACTCTTGTCTCCGAGGCTCCTCAGAGCAGAACCCTTGTCTCTGAGGCTCCTCAGAGCAGAGTGCATTTTCTAGTCTTTAATATTTCATAGACCATTGAGAGAAAGGACAGGAAGACTGCAAAATGACCTCTGTTCACTGCCATGGAGGGGCATCTTCTGAGGATTTGAAGCTCTGGCAAAAATATGGATTGTAGCTTACAGTTCTTCACTTTCCTCCCAGACTCACGGGATGTGAGAGACATAATTGTCCTTAAGAAACTTCAGGAATATCTTTGCCAACAGACCGGAGCCCTGGAGCTTTGGAGGCCTGGGGCATGCTCTCCGGCACTGTTTTTCTTTCCACAGTCTTATAAAGCTAACCCAAGAACCCGGGATCGTCTAGACAGCTGCCATGTCCTTAATTTGGTACTGAGTTACGGGGTCAAGACTGAGCTCCACAGCCAGCTTTCCCACATTACAGGAGCTGGGTTTTTTCAAGAAGCAGAGCGGATGATGCCTTTGCCCCAAATGACCCAAACTGTGCCTAAGGATGCACGCCGAAGGTTGTGCTTGAATTGAAGAAATCAGCAGTAGAACTGAGTCACCTGGGAACCAGAGCTACTGTCCCCAAAAGACACTAGCCACCCTTGCAGCTCAGAGATGCATGGCAGGCCGGAAAGGGGAGACATTTAGTTTCAACCAACTGCTCTTGCGGCACATTAACCTAACTGCATGGGATCAGCTTTACAGCCTTCCTTCGTGATTTCCAAATCTGACGGGGATTCAGAGTTTCAAGGAAACTGTGCCAACGTGGGAGTCTGTTGTCTGAGTTGTGTGCAGAGCCAAAGAGCAAAATTAGCCCCAGTCGGCACAGGTGCTTCATACAAGGAAGCTTTTTTTAAAGAGGGGAGCAGTTCTTCCTCTAGTCTAAGAAACTACATTGTGACTGGGGCAGGAAGGCCCAGGAAGATGTGCTACCCATCTCTCAGACGGCCCATGGCCAAGCTAGGACTTGGCCCTTCTGCTGTCAGTCTTGATCTTTACCTGGCATCCTTCCCCAGTATATTGGATTCAGAACAGTGCTCTTGGCAGTGCCCAGTTCCACAGTGGGAACACCAAGTTCCAGAGAAGAGGCTGGGGGGATCTTATTCTGGAGTTAATCCATCTCTGTTCTCAGTCACCAAGACCCTCGGAGACAGGACCTTGTTCTGGCGTCCACTTGGGGGATCTTGTGTATGTCTGTGTGTGGGGGGACAGACTCCTCAGGTGTCAGGGGAGGTGGGGGCACCAAAAAAAGTAAAAAGGATATCTTAAGTTACAGGAAAAAAATTTTTTGTCATTTGAATGAACTTGGGTTAAAAACTATCCCTCACCCTGTTACCCCACTTCTAATTTTTTGTCCTTAGCCACTGAAAACTTTACCCAGAACAATGAAAATTATCATGATAACGTTTGGAAGGAGCCTTTCTCCCTACCACTGCTGGAAGGATTCGGCCCGTTTCCTCCCTCTTCCCTCAGTTTCTCGCTCCCTCGCATGTTGTCTGCCTGTTTTTTGAGGTGGTTTTTGGAGATGTGGGAGGGAAGAAACCAAAGGAAGCAGGCATGGCATGATGGGTTCCACACAGGAGCTCTGGATGCCTCTCATGGAGGCCATGCTTCCAGAACTCCTGATACTTCGTGGCTGAAAATGAATGTAGGACCTGACTACAGGTTACCCCTCCCTGCACCAAATAGCAACGTAAATGACGGTTAAGAGAACTGATGCGGTATCTTAAAAACAGAGTGATTGCTGACCATTGGCCCCAGCTCAGTCTCTAATACAGAGAAATGAAAGGGGAGGGGGGAAAAAGGAGGGAAGGGAGGGGCATGGGGAGGGAGGACTTCTGAAACCAAGAGGGATAAATGGCTGGATCACAGCTTCAGGGGTTATGACTCCTCGAAATTTTTGATGGATAAATATTTTGACTTACAAAACATTATTTATTTCAAAGGATTTTCCCCTGTAGGGTATAAAACTTGTTTTTCTGAGGACACTACAGTTGTTTCTGAGCTTTGTATACTCTGTATACTTTGTCAGAATAGAATTCCGCCCAGACTGAAATTGTCCTGATCCTAAAACAACTGGACTGTTATCAGAGTAGTAAATTGGGGTTTCACTAGAATCAGCATAAAACACTTTTGTGTCATGTCTTCAAGAGGCACATTTTTAAAGCAGGGGTTTCTTCTCAGAAATCCCCAGCGAGAGCAAGAGAAACCAGCCAAGGCCACTCACCGGGTCTCCCCCAGAAGCAAAGGAGATGGACTGCATGTGATGGTTCGCTATGATCTGCAGGACGGAGACAAGAGAGGAGAGGAGCCATTAGTGCTTCCCCGCATCCTGCAGAGCCTGCCCTGCTGGCAGGCCACCCAAACGACAAGATTTCCTGAAAACTGCCCGCAAAGAAAACAGTAAAACACTGAGACAGTAGGCCGCCTGCCCTCCCTGTGCACGGTCTGATGGCTGTCATCTCTCTGGTTGACCATTCCAATGCCGCATTAAGCTTCCCAGCAGCTGAGGAGTGAGACCTGTGGGAAGCCCATTTTACAGGCACAGACCATGATCCCAGAGGGGCCAAGAGGCTTGTTCAAAGGAAGAAGTGTAGCAATTCCAGACCTGTGAAATCAGGACTCCAACCTGAGGCCAGGGTCTCCAAAACTAGACTTCTCCGGGAAGGAAAAGGTAGTCCTAGAGAAACAGCTCAATTGGTAAAGTGCCTGCCTTACAAGCAGGGAGGCCTGAGGTTAATCCCCAAACCCATGGGAAAAAGAGCGGGGTGTGGTGGCTACAGTCCCGGTACTGGAAAGGGAGAGACAGGTGGATCCCTGGGGCTAGCTGGACCAGCAGCCTAGCTGAATCAGCAGGTTTCTGACCAATGAGAGACCCTAAATCAACCAGCAGACACTGCCCTGATGAACAACAGCTGAGGCTGACTTATGGCCTCCACATATATGCACACATATGTGCACATACACCCATTACACATATGTGCAAACATACACCCATTACGCACATGTGCATATCATCCACACAAACATATACCACACACATACACATACACAAAAAGAAGGGAAAAATACATTGTACCAAAACATTATTATAACTTGTAGTTTCTGCTTCCGCAAACACCGGAGCCAGGCCTGGGGAGTGTGGCCTGTTTCACTCCATCACACTGACATCAGGTGTATATAAATCAGAAGGCCAGCATCCAAGAATTACAGCCCTCTCATAATCCACTGGCCTAAAGACCAGGGGCCCTTCCACACTCATCTTTAAAAGGAAAATTTCCATCAGATTTATAAGCTGTGGCATCCATGGAGTTCAGTGACACAGAGCGAATTAGAAGCTGCCCTAAATTCTAAAAGCTACGTAAGTCCTCCCTGCTATTTTTATCTTTTTAAAGACAATGTAAGGACATTGAGGAAAAGTTCCTGCGTGGAAAGGAGCTCCCAGCTCTATCCTAACACAGCCAGGTTTATTTCTGAGCTCTATCCTCTGCCCTTGTCCCCAGCAGACAGCAGTCCACAGAGCATCAAAGCGAGTATGCGCTCCTGAAAACTTGAAATAACGTATCATTATAGGATAAAATTTTAAATATTTTAAAATGCTGACTTTGGTTGTTGACATTTGCAAAACCTCAATCTAGAGAAACTGGATGGTTTAAGGAAATACAAAACAGTGAGACTGCTGGGTGGCCTGTGCCCAAGCCCCAGGCAACTAACTAATAATAGTTGCCCTAGAATCCTGCTGCCTGTGGGCAGCAGCGCCTGAGTGAATGATAAGGCAGCAGAATCCCCAACAGTAAACTAGGACTTTGGTGTCTTGAGGCCCTGGCTGATCTGGAATTCATGTTGCTGAGGATGGCCTTGAACTTCTGATCCTCTTGACTCACCTCCTTACCACTTGAATTACAGGTGTGACCTGCCATGCCCAGCGTAAGTTTCTAATGCTGCAAAACTGATTTTTGTGTGTCTAACTTTTTGTTTATTTAAGGAGATGGCTCAGTTGATAAATGGTCGCCATACAAGCATGAGGACCTGAGTTTGGTTCCCCAGAACACATGAAAAAAACTGTGAATGGAGGGAGCCTGTAATCCCAGCACTGGGGAGGTAGAAAAGGAGGACTCCTGGGACCCACTGGCCAGACAGTCTGGGCAAGTTTGTGAACTCCAGACCAAGGAGAGACCCTGTTTTAAAAATCAAGGTAGACAGTGTCTGACAGTCTTCATCTGGTTTACACATACACACACAAACACACCATACCATAAACACAAACAGCATACACATAACACACACATATATATACAACACACACACCACATACACACACACACACACACACACACACACACACACACACACACACAAAATACACACTCACACATACATGCCAACTCTAAATCTGGGGGTTGGAAATTAAATTGGAAGCTATAATTTAGGGGGGGAAAAGCCTAAGTTACACTTGGTCAAGATCACTATCATGATTGCCTTTCACCTTTGGGGGTCGCTTATCAGATATCCTGCATTTCAGATACTTGTGTTATAATTCATAACAGTAGCAAAATTACAGTTATGAAGTAGCAGTGAAATAATTTTATGGTTGGGGGTCACCACATCATGAGGAACTGTCTTAAAGGGCCGCAGCATTAGGAAGGATGAGAACCACTAGGGTAGCATGTTTCTCCTCTAAGGGATTCATCGCTATCCCTCTACTTGGACCCCAGCATCATGGAGTGGGTGCTGTGTGTCTGCTCCCTGGGTGGAGGAGGCAGGGGCTTTTGCTTTCTCTATTTGCCACAGTGGGGCCCTAAACTCAGGAAATGGGAAAGGCACAACCATATGTTCTACCTGTGATGTGGACTGCTCCTGTGTCACCCTAGCTGTAGCCCCTGGGTGTCTGGAAAACTGCACTTAGACCCACCCAATACATGGCAGGGAAATGAGAACTGGACACCTAACTAGACTCAACCTGGACCACACCACGGTAGAACAGGGCCTCAGGCGCAGCTAGCCTAACATTATCCTTACTGGGCCATCTTTTTAAGGAGAGAATGAGCAAGGAGGGTGGAGAGTTACAGCCTAGGGACCCCTAGAAATGAATGGTCCATGTGCACAGAGGCCAGATTCCAGTTTACATGGCTGTCTAGAGCCTAGTGTGCCAGCCTCCGTGAGCAACTGGGGCTCAACTTAGGACAGCCTGGGCAAGGCTAGGCTGACTGGACATCCTAGATCCATGGCCTCAAAGACTGGTTAGTCCAACCCTTAGAAAATAATAAAAAAAAAAAAAAAGACAAGCAGTTATCAGTGAGTCCCTGGAAGATGACAGGGTAGAATGAGAAGTTGTAGTTAGTTGTGTCTCAACAAAGCCCTGATTTATTTCTTATTTATACATTAGATCTAATTCGTCTCTACATCTTAGGGATAGATGGTAGATAGATAGCAATAGATAGATACATACATACATACATACATACAAGATAGCTAGATTGATAGATGGGTGGATACATACATACAAGATGATAGATAGATAGATAGATAGATAGATAGATAGATAGATAGATAGATAGATAGATAGATAGATAGACTGACCTAAAACATAGTCAGCACACAGAAATGCAGCCATCCTACCTGGAATTTGTCTTTATAATTGTGGCTGTGCTCCCTCGGTCATTCTACCCTATCTACACTGTAGATACACACAGCTCATCAACTCTGAGACGGGATGAACTATAAGAGTCTCCAACATAAGAAGCCATCAGGAAGAAAACCCCTGTCTATTAAACCACAGCACACTATGCACACCACTCAGGGTAAGATTAAAATGTGACCCATAAAACCAATACAGCGTGGCTATAAAACAAGGGCAGACATCAAGGCGTTTGCACAGACATCACCATTTCTTTATATTACAAACAGACCAACAAAACAGACATCGTTTTGAGCAGGACTCCAGAGAACTATTCATCCATCTGTGGGTGCACTGTCAAAGTGACCAAAGCTCACGGTTTGGCCAAGCGGGTTCTGCATGGGCTCAGTAAGCTCTGAGGAGGAAGCCCCTAGGGTGTCCACCCTCGGGCCCAGGGAGGCCTAGGTAACCTCACACCTGTTTGGAGTCGGGAGTGCGCAGATTCAGGCTGGCCGTGGAGATGGTCAGGGAGATGCTCATCCCTGCGAACTGGAGGTTGCTCTTCCCCAGGATGCTGGACAGCGTTTTACTTGGAGGCTGTGAAATCCAAGAGTGATAGTTTAGCTTTCAACCCAGATTCTGTCTGAAAGGGTGGAGGCAGAGATGTCAGTGTACCCCCATAGACTCTCCCTGGCTGCTGCTCCCCACTGAGGTGCCAGAAGACAGACAACTGGAAAATGGAGGAGCTGGAAAAATAAGAGCCCACACCAATATGCACACTCAGTAATATGAGGTATGAAGTTATAAATGCCTAATAAGTCAGTTCTGGGGGAGAACTCCTGGTCTTCCTGGCTGCCTTGACCATATGCGGGTGTCTCCTGGGTCTTAGACGTAAACCTACAGAAACCACACAGCAGGGCCATCACAGCTTTGCAGACGTACAAACCTTGTCTCGGCAGACTGAGATGCAGACTACCTCTTAGGGGAGTAGAAGCTGGTTGGCACCGAGGCTCAGGAGCAGCCTCACAGGATCACGAGGCTCTCTCCAGAAGGGAATCCTCGTCAGAAGTGGCTCCCTGTTAAGGGCTCACCTGGACAGTCCCATTAGAATCTGACTGCCCAGAGCTTGGGCAGGGTGGAGAGACAGGCTGCTGTGGCCAGCATCTCCCTCACCTGTCGGCAAAGTCTTTACGGGGATATGGAACAGCCTCAGTGTCCAGCCAGGTGCCATCCCCCAGGCCCTGGGCTCACACTGAAGCCCTCTCCTGCTCACACTTTCCATTTGATTACAACATCCTCTGCTCACTGTGCCCAACAGCTCCTGACCAGATGCACAGTTCTTTGATCCACTAGGAGAGAAAACGCAGCCACTAAGGTTGTCTAAAGTGGAGCTGGGAAAATGGGAAGGTCACATCCCTCTGCTGAAGCTCAGGCCACAGGATGTTCCTGTGACTCAGATAAGAGGCCAAAGCCAGACCTGCGGGCCTTGTACACCAACCTCTCAGTGGGGAGTAGCCTAGTTAATGAACCAATCAGAATGGATTTGCAGTTTAAGGTGTCTGCCCAGCCAGTGAACTGTCTCCAAAGGTAACACTTAATGGAAACTCTCTATTTTAAAAGAGAAAATCTCTGCTGAACTTACCTCCAGGGGTTGCCCTGGTTTGGTATCCCCAAACTGCAGCTCTTTGCTTCCCAGATAGATGCTATTTCCTTTAGGATCCCTGCCATGCCATTTTATTTCTTTTTCTTTTTATTTAACATTTCAAAAGAGCCCTTTAGAGAACCCTTCCCCTCTGTGTGAGAGACAGGTACACTGTATCTGGGCACAGCCTGGAAAGCTGCCATTACCTCCATTTCTTCCCACCAAGAGAACCGGAGGGGAAAGAAGACCTGGTATGACCACCTGTTCTGAGAGACGACGGTCCTCCTTGCTGTTCCCAAGGGACATCTTGATTCCTGTATTCAAGGTTTGGGAGCTCTACTTGGTTCCCAGGACCTCCAGGGGACCAGCTATCATCACATAACCTGAGCTGCCAAGTTCTGTGCCCCAGGCCCAGTTGCCCTGTAGGTTTACGAAAGCCCCCAGCTCTGAAGACAGAAGTGACTTGGAGACAAAACCATCTGGAACCTGAAAGCTCATTCTGGGGCAGATATGGGGCTCTGTATGGTATGCTTTCCCACAAATCCCTCTTTCTAGGTAGATAAAAGTCATGATTGTAAGTGCTGAGTATTTCTTAGTTACTTAATGAGAGAGAGAGAGAGAGAGAGAGAGAGAGAGAGAGAGAGAGAGAGAGAGAGAGAGAGAGAAAGAGCTTAATTCAATGTTTTCTTCTTTTTTATTGTGATAGATATCACATCTATATCCGTGTGTGCAGATGTGTGCATACATGTGGAAACGGAAGGTCATCGGGAGTCTTCCTCTGAAAATCTCTACCGTATAGTTGGAGACAGAGTCTCTCAAAGAACCTGGAACATACCAGTTCTGCAACCATAGCTAGCCAGTGAACCCCAGGGTCAGCCTGTCTCTGTTTTTCCAGCACTGGGATTGCAGTCATGTGCTGCCATGGCAGGCTTTTTACATGGATGCTGGGGATACAGTCTCAGGTCTTCATGTTTATACAATAAGCCCTCTGCCAGCTGAGCTATCTCCCCAGCCCCAGATATTTTCCCCTCCTACTCTACCATACACAGGATGGAAAGTTCTAGAAGTGTAGTTGAACACCCAGCCTCCAGAGCAGGTGGCTCTGGCTTTGCCATGGCCCCAGCTCCTACTCACTTTGTGGCTTCTCAGTCCAAAGCTTCAATTTTTGTCATCTATAACATCAGGCTTTCCAGTGACATGGCAAGCCAGCTCAGGAGAGCCATTTGTCACATTTTTAGAAATGTTATGAGCTCACCACTAAGCACAGCTATTACTGAGAGTTAACTTATACAAACTCACAAGTACATAGATGACATCTAAAGATGGTAAACTACTTCTTGAGTCCTGAATGTTTCGCTCCTGGTCCTTCAGGACCCATCTGCTGTGCCTGGAGAAAACACGACACAGGGATGAACTGCTGTGTCTCTTCCCAACTCTTTTCTAGGGACCTTGTGTTGAAAGCTTGAATCATAGGGCGGTATTTACACCACAGTAATTTGCATCATTACAAATGCAAGGTCCTGCTCCCCCCTCCCAACCCTAGAATCCAGTTCTTAAGCATTGGCTAGCATGTATACTGGGGTAGCTGCAACATGAGCTGTTGGGGTAGATGATTTATGTTATGTAATGGCCTTAAAGGGATGCTTGGCTGGGTGTTGACTGGTATCACTGTCTCCAGGGTTTAACCTACATGAGCATCCATAACATTTGCTTGAGAGACAGGGCAGGGGTGTTTTAGCCTTAGCTAGGTGCTTTCCCTTAAGAAATAACAAGATCCAAGTCATGTAAGAAGACAGTGGACAGTTTTGTGGGTGAGGACATGGAGTGTGGCCCTGAGAGGACATGAAGGAGGAGACAGACACACAGTGAGGGCGGCAGTACCTTTCTCTTCTTGAAGGCTCCTTTGGCACCTGGCACAGCTTCGCAGACACGGCTGATGGCTTCCCTGAGGGCAGGAGAGATTCATTTTATTACACGCCAGTCAGGGTTATGCAACTCAGATAGTCTGCACTCAAAGGTCCAGAGGAAATAACTGCCTGCTTATTTTAGCATAGAAAATTGGCCCTCCAAGTGCATCTCCTCAAACAAGCAGAATTAAGCCAAGCACCGGCAGGTCATCTTAAAACTTTTGCCATATTCTACCTCTTTCTTAGTGTGGTGGTACCATGACCAAAGCCACATTTCTTTTTTCTTTTACATTTAACTAAGATTTCTTTTTTAAAATCAGTACCTAATATGTACTCTCCTAATTTTTTTTAAAATTATGCCAATCATTATTGAAATATCCTGACACTGTCAGAGCATCAGGACCAAGCCTATCCAGCTCACTGAGATCCTTCTGAAGTAGGTTCAAAGGTCACTGAAGGAAACACAATGCTCATTGTTTGACTCTTAGCTTCTGCAGTTTTAAACACAGCCAGTCAGTTGAGGCTACAGCCCATTTGTGGGATGCTTGTGCAATACTTCTAAAGCCCCAGCACCTCATAAAACTAAGTTTGGTAGTACATATCAATAATCCTAGCACTCTGGAGATAGTGACAGAAGGACCAGAGGTTCAAGGTCGTTCTCACCAAAATGGTGAATTTGAGACCAGCCTGGGATACATGAGACCATGTCTCAAAAAATAAAAAGAGATAAATGAATACAGACAGACAGACCCTAGCTTATCACTCAGCTTAGGGTTTTCCGGCTTTATGGTAGTGTGAAAGTGATTCATATTCAGTAGAAATTATACTTTGAATTTTCTATTCTAATCTCTTTTTTAAGTTTCAAGTTCTAAATGTTTTATTTCTTGGTAAGTATGCACTCACTGTTCATATCATGGTAGGTCAACGTATATCACATAACACGCACTGATCAAGTCTTCTCTGGTCCCACCAAGCCCCCACAGTCCCATGGCCCACTTACAAAATAATCACTCAGAGGGTTATATTAATTATAACTGCTTGGCCATTAGCTCAGGTGTGTTACTGACTAGCTCTTACACTTAAATTTACCCATAATTCTTATCCTATGTTTAGCCATGTGGCTTGGTACCTTTTCTCAGTTAGACATTCTCATCTTGCTTCCTCTGCATCTGGCTGGCAACTCCTGACTCTGTCCTTCCTCTTCCTGTCTCTCTCCTGGATTTCCTGCCTGGCTATAACCTGACTCACCATAGGCCAGAGCTTCTTTATTAACCAATCATAGCAACACATATTCATAGCATACAGAAAGACATCCCACAGCAACACAGACACACAGACACACAGACATACACACACACACACACACACACACACAAACACACACACACACACACACACACACACACACACACACACACACACACACACACCTTCCCTGACCTCTATGCTGGGCTCACTTTATTTAACATATTTCCTCTGGATCCATCCACAGGACCTTCTCTGAGTGCTGGGTATCAGCAGCAATCCTCAGCTCCAAGTCAGCACCAAGATCAGCAGCAGAAACCACCAACTCTAAAGTCCTCTGCCACTAAGCTAGCATGTTCTAGCATATTCTGTAAGTTCAGTATATTTTCCACAATAATTTCAATTTGCAGTGGGTTTAAAAGTCGAGGAACTGCTGTATTTAAAAAATCTAGAGAGTTTAAGAGGAATAAAGGAACTCCATGGTACAAGGGTGAGGCTGTGTATGGGCAGATGCACAGAAAAGTATTGGTTGGACAGGTCTACATGCGAGGCATTGTCCTGAGTCAAGGGATGGGAGTACCCAGTATGGGGGGGGGGGGCACTCATGGGGTCTAGTAAGGCAGGAGTCCCATACACAGGTCTTACCCTATGGGGGCTGGAAAACTTGAAATAAGGAAGAGTCCAGATAAGGAGGCTGTGGGGGTTCTAATGAAGGTGTGGCAGGCTATGATGGCAACTCCGGTGACCTTGAGAGCACCCACAGCTCAACACTGTGACTCACCATAAGTGAAAATGACTGGGAGAAGGGCTGAAGGTGGCTTCAAGTTAGGGGTGCCTAAAGGAGCTGGGCAAACTTCTCAGCTCCCACATTAAGAGGGAGAAAATATTACAAGAACATGGAGAAAATAAACTAACAGGACCAAGAGATGAGCTGAATGATCAAGAAGACAATGGCTCCTTAGGGACAGCCACCCAGCTTCCCAAGTGGAATACTCCTCACAATTAATGTCTACCATCTAGTTGAAAAATAATCACGATCACAATGCAACTGCTTTAGGAGATGTCCTTGTCAAATTAGGGCAGCGACCACGGAGGCGAGCTTCATGTTTGCCATTCAGTGGTTATGGAGAGAGGGAGGAAAAAGGAGTTTGTGACAGTTCAGGCGCCAGAAAGCCTGCACAGTATGAGTCATCCTGACCTGGAAAAGTAAAGCCAGAGCAGATGTTTGGGATGACAGCGCTGCTCCTATTTATTGTATAATAGCCATCTAACTGTGCTCCTACCAAAATGATCAAATACATACCATCTCAAATCTGCTCAAAGCAAACTCTCTGTTTGCTTTCAGAACATGGATGTGTTGTCCTTTTTAATCAATGAGTTCATTTGTGTGTGCGTCTACGTGTACATGAATGTGCACACCTCTGTGTACATGCAGAAGCCAGAGAATGATGCTAAGTGTCCTGTTCTAGAACTTTCCACCTTATCCCTTTGACACAAAGTCTCTCACTGATCTGGAACTAGGCTAGCAGCCAGTAAGACCCAGCAACCCTCCTGCCTTCACACTTCCCCTGACAGAAAAGGTATTATAGGCATGTGCAACCAAGTCTAGTTTTTGTTTAATGAGTGCTGAGAATTTGAACTCAGGTCCTGATGTTTAACAGCAAGCACTCTATCTGCTGAGTCATTTCCCCAGCAACCTGTGCTGTCTTTTTGTAGAAGTATGTAAGTCCCAGTATCTGTCTTACCTGTTTAATATATTAAGGTGTGTTTTATTTTTAATTATGTGTACATGTGTGATGGGGATATGTGCACATGTGAGTGCAGGTGCCTTCGAAGGCCAGAAGAGAGCAACTGGATCCTCAAGAGCCAGAATTACAGGTGGTTGTGAGCTGCCCAATGTGGGTTCTGGGAACCAAACTCATGTCATCTACAAGAGCAGCATGTGCTCTTGCCCACTGAGCCATCTCCCCAGTCCCTTACCTATTGAATTTTGCATGTTTGTGTGTATGCATGTGGAGGCCTGAAGTTAACCTTGGGTGTTGTTACTCAAGACACTGTCTATCTTGTTTTCTGGGACAGGGTCTCTTGCCGGCTACATATTAATTTTGTAGACTGGCTAATTAATGAACCCTAGACATGATCCTGTCTCCACCTTCCCAACACTGAGACTACAAACATGGGCCACCATGCCTGATTGTGTTTAAGTTAGTTGGTTAGTTTTAATTTTATATGAGCATATGTCTATATGAGTGCATGCATGTGTCTCACACATGTGTAGGCATCCACAGAGTCCAGAAGAGGATTGTCAGATCACCTGGAACTTCTGCATTTTATTTTTTAAGCCAAGAGATGGATTTAGTTCAACAAAGTAGCTAAATCTCTGATGGTCTCAATAAGCTATGTACAAAAAGTCTCTCCTTGGTCATTCTTTCAACACCTTCAGTAATTCCTAGATTTTTTTCCCTGCCTACCAACATAGGAAATCAAGAGTATTGCAAACAGTTTTCCAAAAGGACTCCCACTATCAGAAACCTAAGTTCATTAGCCACGAGCTAACCATTTGCAGCTGGTTTCTACTCCATGGAGGGACAGGAGGAGCAGCAGTATTCCGAGGGGATGGAACGGGCTCAGATTACAGACAGAACGTCCTCTCCGGGAGACCCATGAAGTTCCCAGAGCACAGTCACACACCCAACATTTTATCTTTACAATCTTCAAATATAAGACAAACCAGAACTCTTTCTGAGCTCACACACTCAAAGTGAGCCCTCAGGATACCCTTGTGAACTTTCAGAATCTTCTGAGGTCTTCAACATGCTTTTCAGAAAAATGTGCTGCCTTAGGAGGGCCACAGAATCTGTTTCTAATGTTCACATGATCACATGTGTGCACAAATCCTAACTTCAACCAAAGACAGTGTCTATTTCCGTTTGAAATAGAAATGATACACCATTAAAAACAGCAATATTTAGATGTCTGAAATTAGTTACTTTAACTCCAAGGTCTAATTTTAAATGTAGCTATTCTCAATTTCCTTCCTGGCTGTTTTGGTGAGCAGTACTATCTCAATTTGTTCATTTAGCAATAATTTAGTTTTGTGTAATTCCATTTAATCTCTTTCTGGAACCCAGGTACCAATTTTGCTGTTTTTTAATAATAGAGATTGCTTCTTAGCATTCCACTCAGTACAACCCCATTTCGAGAAGCTAAATCCTGACCTCAGTGCTCCAGTAATATGAAAATGGAACATTTGGCAAACTCAGCAGTCATCTGAAAGCTACCAGAGACAGCCTTGCCAAAATGCTAACCTTCAGGTTTTACGATTGCGCTGTACTCCTCGACTCAGGTCCGTATCCCCATCAATAGGGTAGATAGCTCTCCCAACTGAAGCTTTTTTCTTGCCAGTGTAGAACTTTAGAACAAGACTTTGCATGTGTGCATGTTTGGATACACATGTACAACAGGCATGCGTGCATGCTTGCACAGACACTTTTTCAGAGTGAAACAAAAAACAAATAACAGTAGAACAATAAGGTAATTTCTTCCCTCTTCAAATTATATTTAGGTAGGGGAAAGTGCAACCAAAAATGAAACACACAGAATAGTAAGTTAAGTTTAAGTTCACACACACACACACAGAGTGATGAACAGCTACTCAGGGGGAAACTTAGTTTCTAGATCATGCCTCAAATATAAATCAATTCTTGGTGGATCACAAATAGAAGTTGTTGTGATTTTTTAAATAATGAAAGTATTAAAGAAACTCAGGAAGAATTATTCTTAATGATCTTTG